CCTGGGCCGTCCAGGTCAGGGCACAATGACTGATCTTATTTAAAAGCTCTCTGGCGGCTGGGGAGAACGCAGGGGAAATGGCAATGGCGGGAACAAAATGCACAGGAAACGGATGCGGAAGCGGCGCTGCGGGTGCCTATGCCTCCACCTCCACAGTGGCGATGAATGCAGACCGGAGCATCCTTGCCTTGTGGTGTGTGTTTGTATGCGTGTTTTGAATGGCCTCCTGCTTTGGGAAGGAGGCAACTCACCAACCATGTGCCCCCTTCTCCTGATCCGTCAGCCTAAAAGACAATCTACAAAGTGTCACACATTAAACAGAGAGGGTTTGTTTTGTGTTTTTTTGTGCCGTCAAGTCACAGCTGACGTTTGTCACCCCGGTAGGGTTTTCAAGGCAACAGATGTTCAGTGGTGGTTTGCCATCGCCTTGCTTCCGCATCACAGCCCTTGGTATCTGAAGAAGTGAGCCGGTGACTCACGAAAGCTCCTCCCCTGCCACAAATTGTGGTACTCTTGAAGGTGCTAACTGGACCCTTGCTCTTTGGTATCTGAAGAAGTGAGCGGTTTCCAGAAGAGGGCAACCAGGAGGGTGAGAGGGTTGGAATCCAAGTCTTATGGGGGAAGGTTGAAAGAGTCGGGTCTGTTTAGCCTGGGAAAGAGAAGGCTTAGAGGGGACACGATTGCAGTCTTCAAGTATCTGAAGGGCTGTCATGTGGAAGATGGAGCAGATCTATTCTCTCTTGCTCCGGATTGCAAGACTAGATCTAATGGGTGGAAATGACAAGGGAGTCGTTAACGGCTAAATATCAGGAGAAACTTCCCAACTGTAAGAGTGGTTGAGCAGTGGAGCAGTCTGCCTCGGGAGGTGGTGGATGCTCCTTCGCTGGACGTTTTTAAGCAGAGGCTGGACGGCCATCTTTCGGGTATGTTGGAGGGCTATCTTTCGGCTGTGCTCCTGCAGAGTGCAGGGGGTTGGACTAGATGCCCTGCAAGGTCCCTTCCAACTCTAACGTTCTATGATTCTATGACTCACGAAAGCTCCTCCCGTCACAAATTGCGTTAGTCTTTAAGGTGATCTCGATCTGTCACAACCCTGGTATTCCTTGGAGGTCCCCCACCCAACTACTAGCCAGCTTAGCTTCCCGAGATCCGACGCCATCAGGAGAGAGATTCCCAGGGTTGGTCATAAAGGAAATGCAGTACACATTATAGACGGTCCCTAACAGGAACCGACTTTGATTTATACCCTTTTAATCTCCCACCAAATACGGCTTTGGTCGTAGCCAGCATTTTGTTTGTTTGTTTGAAAAAAGAATAACCGAGTTCCATTGAAAACCATTTTACCAGATCCGGATGCATTTGTGATGCTGGGTGGTGCGGTTCCTCCCATTTGGACAAACATACAAGCGCTTTTCAAACTTATTTATTATTTTTTTTTTAGAAAAAGCCTTCATCCTCTACCTTTTTTTTAAATATGGTTTAGAAAAAAATATCCCCAACAGGAAGAGACTCTCCCCACCACCACCCCTTCGCAGGAAGGAATGCCCTCTCCTCCCCAAATCGTTGTGTGAAATAGCAGAACTCACTGGTTAAACGGCTGGCGGATTTGTACAGCAGCAAAGTGACCTTTCGCTCTCTTGCTCTCTTTCTTTTTTTTTTTGAACTTTTTTTTAAATATATATAGAATATTCTGATTCTATCAATAGTTATCTACAATATTGAATGAAAATAAGCCGAGACGGAGAGGGTTCTCCTTTGCCCCGTTTCCCTTTCCTCGAAAATTAAACACTTAAAAGATTTTGGATTTTATTTTACCCCCCCTTCTTCGTCCGACACTCGGATGAGGGGAAAGGATTTGTCATCGTCGTTTTCTCCCCCATTTTGTCGTGTGTGTGTGTTTGTTTTTTTTCTCGGAAAGAAAAGATGGCGGCAAAAGAGCGTTACAGATGGGCTTGGCGTTTGCCCTTCCGAGGAAGGGATGGCTTTTCTGATCATGCTGCAGCTGGTATTTTCGAGCAGGTTTGCCCACGGGAAAACCAGAGCTGGTCCCGCGGCTGCGAAATACTGGGGGCCCCTTAGCCTTGGTTTGATATGCGGGGGATGCCAAGGCTGCGTGTGTGTGTGTGGGTGTGTGTGTGTGACGGTTGATTCCATTCTGCAGTCTGGCCTGTCCCCCCCCCCCACTAAGCCCTGCTCCCTTCTGAGTACGTGGGACAGATCCGTGGAAGAGTTCTTTGGTGGCCTCTGGATGTGTGCGGTCCTGAGCTCTGGGGCTCCGGAAAGCGTCTCCCAAGGCTTCGGCCCCGACGAAGCCCAGGCTACCCAACGCTCCTGGCCACGGCGAGGCCTCTGCCTCTCCCGTCCCGCTTCCTTTCAGCTCCCAGCCAGAGGCACATGGGGACTTCTCGCAGGTTCTTCCTGATGGGAACCCGGTGCCGTGTCGTGTTTGGGGTGGTTTGGGGAGGGGAACGAACGGGGTTAACCGGTGGAGGGGAGGAGGCGTTTTCGTGAGGCCGAAAACTCAGCCGTTCTCTCTCTCCCTCTTGACTTTCTCCTAACGCCTTAGATGGCTAATCCTCAAAGGAGCAGGGCTTTAGGGGAGAGTTGTCGTAACGTGGGAGGTGGTGTGCAGGGGAGTCCTGAATTCACATCTTTGCTCAGCCTTGCTGGCATTCTCGTCCCGGTCAAGCCCAGCTCACCGGGTAGCCACCTGGGGGTTATCCTGTGCTCCTTGAAGGAAAGGTGGGGTGTAAATCAATTAAATCTTCTCTTCTGGTGTCTCTATTGCCCTCCACGCCCCCCCCCCAGAAGCGATCTGACCGCCATATCCGAACACTACAAAGAAAGTGTCACGGGAAGTTTTGCAATCTCTGAAGTCCTTCCCCCATTTTGGTGCATGAGGCAGGGAATACCAACGGCACCCACTCCCTTCCTGCAAACTGACACGGGGCACAATCCAGCTCGACGCTTTCATGAGCCAGTTTAGTTAAATTGGGGGGGGGGGGCAGACTGCACAAAAGCAGAGTTATGCCGTGCCCATCTTGACTGAGGCCCGTGCAGGAGGAAACCCTGGTGGATCGGGCCCCGTGGGTCAGATCTGCCTCGCTTGACGCTCTTAATAATGCCTTAAAGGGTCTCTGCTTTGTCTCGCCTCATGGGAAAGCCGTAGGGTTTCCAAGTAGAGGTTGGGAAATTCTTGGAGATTTGAAGGTGGTGGCCGGGGAGGGGGGGGGAGTTTGAGGGGGGAGGAACCCCCGTGGGTTACAATGCCACGGAGATCACCGTCCAAAGCAGCCATGTCCCCTGGGGGAGACCTGATCTCTGTCGTCTGGAGATCAGTTGTAACTCTGGGGGGTCTCAAGGCCCCACCTGGAGGGTGGCGACCCAAGCAAAGCCACTGTGGCCACCAAGTTTCACTCTGCATCTTCCCCGATGGTGGACATTTCTTAAGCTGAAATATGTTTAAGTTTTCAGCTGGTATAGTAATGTGGCGGGGGGGGGGGGGGGAAAAATGTGGAGATCGAGTGACAAAGAGACACAAGGACGAGTCTCCCTTCAAAGGTGACGGCTTCTTTCCGAGCCAATAAGCCCAGCTGGGAATCTGTGCGTTCCTTCGGTAGGTAGCCTACAGTCCTCCCCAACTGAGCAAAAGAAATGGGTCAGGAGGTGTGGGGGGAATAAGTGAACTCCAGGATGTGGCTGAATCCAAATCTACCTTTTCAGATTGAGCGGACGGCAGGAGGGACTATTCCTAACTACTGGATGTCAGTCTCTGGAAAACATGGCCTTCTACAGTTGCCTTCATGTTTCGCTGTGTTTCCCCATAGTCTTGAGGGCTAGAAACCTATCGCTTGGTTTGGGGAATGACAGGCAGCTTTTCAGCTAGATTCCCAGATTCTGTATGGCACCGTACAGACTAGACGGCTTCTCGGCTGTTACGTAGGAACCTGATTATCCGATGATTTGGGAATGGAGTCGCTTTCTTTCCCCCCAGGTGTAAACAAAAAAGTCCCGGCTTTACCCCTACCACCGCCCCAGCATTCTCCCTTGCTCTGCGATTTCTAGGAAGCTGGTTAAAATTACCAGGTGTAGGAAGCATTTGGATTGCGAGCTCTTGAGGGGGCGGTGCCCCCTCTACCCGGGGCCCCGTTTTTGCTCCCTATTTCTGGACAATTGCCTGAAAAGACCGCTGCAGCCGGACCCTAATGTCAGTCACTCAGTATCTAAGGGGTCCGTGCAGGGCTTTAATCTCTCGGTTACTCAGCAGTTACTCAGTCTGTTCTCTCTCCCGATTGGAGATCCTCCCTTTCCTGGCAAACCTCAGTATAAATACAAGCTACAGCAAGCAATGGTTTTTTCTGTTTAAAAAAAGCAAAAACAAAATTGCCCCCAGACCGAAATCCCATCAGGGGAGGTGGGGTAAGGAGAAAAAGGGGGAGTTGATAACAGGCATGCGTATGGTCAGAAGGTCCGTTAATACATCTGTCAGTTGGTATCATATATATATATTTAGGATAATAGATGTCTAGATTATTCCTCTTTTTTTCCTTTTTTTTTCTTCTTCTTTTTTTCGTGGTGCAAATATAGTTCCTTTTTTAAACTTTGGAAAGAAAAAACAAAACAAAACCAAAAAGAAACCCAAATGAAAAGAGGTCCCCAGAAATAAATCGAAGCGACCCCCAAACGGGGGGATCCTGGTGGGTTCAGTGGCTGTGTTTCGTGTCCAAAGAGAAACAAAGAACAGACTAGAGAAAATGGGTGGTTTTTCCTGTACACCCTCCAGGACTCAGCCCACCCCCTCGCGGGTGACTCTGAAGACACCTCATCTTGTCCCCCCCCTCCACAGTATGCTCTCTCACACTTTTCGTTGCGTCTTCTTGGTTCGCCTGAGCCAACCTGGTCCATCTCCACCCCGCCAAGAGGGGAGGGAAACAAAATCTCCGGTGGCAAGAGGAGAAACTTCCCGTCCCCTGCTTGCTCTCCTTCCCGACTCATCACTCGGCTAGTCCTGAACTCCAAGGAAGGCCCTTGGACACCCCTGATGTGGTGCACAAAGTCATTTCGACCCGTCGCGTGGCCAGGGTAGTGTTAAAGGGATGTTTCCATGCTGTGGAGCGGGCTAACCGGGCTGGACGAGGAGGTAGGTGTCTTGCTGGCATCGGTGCTCAGGTAGATGCCGCTGTCGATGGCGTTGTTGTTCTTGTTGGGCGATGGTGGGGGGCTGGCCCGGAATCGCCGTCTTGGGGGGGCCTCGCTCTCCTCCACGTCCGTATCGTCGATGAGGGGGATGTTATGGATGTAGTCGTTGATCAAGAACTCGGGCGTCGTCATGAAGTTATGGATGGAGGTCTTCGTGTCCGGCTTCTCCAGCCCTTCGTAGAGGGAGCTACGGAACGCTTTCACTACGCGGATCTGCAGGGGAGGCCGGGAGGAAGGAGAAGAGAGGAGATGAGAGTAGACTCGTGGTGGCCGAAGCCGTTGCCGAGCCACAGATGTGGGGGCCTGCTAGCTCTTCCTCCTCTTCCATCCTGGGTCACTCAAGACTGAGGAGCTGGGATAGGAGGACTCAGAGGCCCGGCCACCCAACCGTCCCTTCGCTGCAGCCCACTAGGCGTAAGGCACGGCAGGCCAGATGTTGGAAATGGCTCTCTGGGGATCCGATCTCTCCCATGCGTAAAGTCCCTAGCCCTAATTAAAGGCCCATCTATACTGCTTTTCACTGTCATAGCTTCCCCCCAAAGAATCCTGGGAAACACAGCTCCGTTGGGATGGCTCAGTCTTCTGCCAGAGACATCTAGGTCCCCTCTTCAAGTACTACAGTTCCCAGAATCCCCTGGGCAGAATGACTATTAAATCAGTAAAAACCTGTGGTGTCGACATAAAGAGCTTTTAATGGAGGTGGTAGGGGTCGTTCTTGGATTTCGTCCCTGCAAATCTGGCGTGCCGCTTCTAAACTAGGTTCCTGTCCACTTTTGAGGGCTTACAAAGGGAACCGCTCAAATTCAGGCTTGTGAACTAGCTAAGCAGGTTCTTCGTACTTCCCCTGTCTTGTTCAGAGTTTCCGATTCTGACAACAGAGCACCTCTTCCCCATTGTAGGATTGCCAGCTCTGGGTTGGGAAAGGCCTGGAGCTTTTGGGGGTGGAGCCTGGGGAAGGGGAAGTTTGAGGTGGGGCGGGGCCTCACCAGGGCACAAGGCCACAGAGTCCCCCCTCCAAAGCAGCCACTTTCTCCACGGGAAACTGATCTTAGTCACCTGGAGATCAATTGAAATAGCGGGAGATCTCCAGGTGCTACCTGGAGATTCCAAAAATGAGAGATCACGGGAGGAAGTGGAAATCCAACAACAACATCCGTGACAAAAATAATGAAGGCCTTGGGTTCTGTTATTAGAGAGTCAACTTGGAATGTTTCCTTCAAGAGTTGATCAGTAGTAATTGATAAGAACTGTGATTGCTACACGCTAAACAAATCCGTTCCACAAGAATTGCTTTATCTGAGTGGGTTCTGTTACTAGAGAGTCAACAAGGAATGTTTCCTTCAAGAGTTGATAAGTAGTAATTGATAAGAATTGTGACATAGAGGGGATGCTTATCAAATTTGCAGATGACACGAGGTTAGGTGGGATTGCTAATTCTGAAGAAGACAGACTCAGGATTCAAAATGGTCTAGATAGGCTGGAACAGTGGGCTGAGACAAATAAAATGAATTTCAATAGAGGTAAGTGCAAAATCCTACACTTAGGTACAAAAAATCGAAGGCATAGATATAGAATGGGAGGGACTTGGCTTGAAAGCAGCACATGTGAAAGGGATCTGGGTGTTCTGGTTGATCACAAGCTAAACATGAGCCTGCAGTGCGATGTGGCTGTGAAGAATGCTAATGCAATCTTAGGATGCATTAACAGAAGCACTGTGTCCAGATCACGGGAGGTGGTAGTTCCGCTCTATTCTGCGCCAGGTCCACTTTCTGTGCTGCAAAATAAGTTTGCAGATTGAGGACTTATTATTAATGGACTAGATCTAATGGGTGGAAATTACAAGGGAGTCATTACCGGCTGAATATCAAGGAAAACTTCCTAACTATAAGAGTGGTTGAGCAGTGGAACAGTCTGCCTCGGAAGGGGGTGGATGCTCCTTCGCTGGACGTTTCGAAGCGGAGGCTGGACGACCGTGTAGGGCTCTCTTTCGGCTATGCTGCTGCAGAGTGCAGGGGGTTGGACTAGATGACCTGCAAGGTCCCTTCCAACTCTAACATTCTATGATTCTATGATTGCTACATGCTCAGATAAAGCAAATATTGTGAAACGAATTGTTTACATTGTGCAGCATTCGTTAGTTAGAAGAGAATTTTCGACAGAATTACCACAGTAAATGATTTCGCAACAGATCTTTATTGATTCTTCATTATTTTTGTCACAGATGTTGTTGTTGGATTTCTGCTATCTGTAGACTGGCAACCCTCCCCCATTGGCTATGGCATTCTAAAGCCAAAGGCTCAAACCGATGAGGGTTGCCAACTCCGGGCTGGGAAATTCCTGGAGATAGTGATTTAGGGTTGGAGCTTGGGGTGGGCAGGGTTTGGAGAGGGAAGTACATCAGTGGGCTATAATGCCACAGAGTCCACCCTCAAAAGCAGCCATTTTCTCCACGGGAACTGGGGTCTGGAGAGCAGCTGTGATTTGGGGAGATCTTCAAGGCAACCCTAGTCGAGAAGCAAGTCTGTGTTGAGAGCTGGCCCTCCTGCCTAGCCCCTTCACCACAGTGTTTGGTATTGACGAGAGGAGCCGTCTCCCTTTCCCACGGGCCTGACTCTAAATGGGATGCTCCGAACCATTCCTGACCATTCTTGCTGGAGATTGTTTGGGGGAGGGGGGAGGTCTAAAGGAGCCCTCCTCAGCCATGGAGAAGGAAACAAGGAAGAGGAACGAGGAGACCAGTCAATGGACAGGATGAAAAGGGGTGAATGGTTCAAAGGGGTGTGTGTGTGAGGGTTGGTGGTGATGCCATGGGTTCTAGGTGGCGGGAAACGCTGGTGGTTTCTGCCGAGTGGCAGGCTGTGGAAATGGAAATGAATGTAAAGAAAAGGAGAGAATGGCAAAGAGGCGCGACTTCCCCCTCATCTGTGTGCTTATCTCCTCGGTGACAAAGATCCTGTGTGTTTCTGGATTTTGAGGAACATCCTTTAAAAAAACAAACAAACGCATGCCCTCTCGTGCTTTCCTACTGTTTTCTCTCCCACCCGTCTTGCTGGGCCTTTGGCCTCTGGGCTGGTAACAGGAATTTATGCAGGCCTTTTAAATTTAATTGAGTTTCTCCCCGTCAGGGTTGCCAGGTACACCCTGGTCACCAACATGGGCTGGGGCGTGTGTGTAAGGTTGCCAGATCCAAGTTGGGAAACTCCTGGGGATTTGGGGGTGGAACCTGGGGAGGGCAGGGCCCTCAGTGGGGCACAAGGCCACAGAGTCCCCCCTCCAAAGCAGCCATTTCCTCCAGGGGGAACTGATCTCTGCAGTCTGGAGAGGAGCTGGAATTCCGGGGGATCCTCAAGTCCCACTTGGAAGCCGGCATCCCTGCTTCCCAGTCGACTCACTGCTTAGAACACAATAGCAGCTCACTCAATGCACGGTGACCAGGGAAGCAACCAGCCGTTTTGCCGGCTTCAGAACATTGTTTTGAATATTTGCAGCATAGTTCAGGGAAGATTCAGGGAACGGAGCTCAAAGTAAATGTGCCCTGGCCTCAACAGCAGAGGCTAGCCTGATCCCGTGAGGCTAAGCAGAGTCAGCCCTGGTCAGCATTTGGATGGGAAACCACACAGGAATACCAGGGCCGTGATGCAGAGGCAGGCAATGCAGGCCCGTAGCTACGGTGGGGCTTTGGGGGGCTCCGCCCCCTTCCTTAAAGGCACAGCCCCACAAGATTTTCTCCTGTAAAGGCTTTTTTCAATCATTTTAAAACATTTTGTTAAAGCGCATGCTCCTTTAAGCAGAGTGGGGTACTGTAACTGACTAATTCCTGCACTGAGCAAGGAGGTTGGAGTAGGTGACCTCTAGGATCCCTTCTAACTCTGTGTCAAGAAAGAGGTCTCCTTTAAGAGAGTATTTCTGTCTAAACGTTCGCTTTCTTGGCTATAGAATTCCTCACCCCCCACCTGCCAGCTTGTTCTCAGAATGGTTTCTTAGTCTGGCAGAACTGATTAACTTGCAGCAGCTGAGAACTGTCATCTAACATGGCTGACAGCTTGCAAGTTAGAGATCTATCCTGGGAACAGTTATCCATTGGCTAAATGGCTTTTCTTTCTACTCTGAGAACTTCAGCCCCACCAGAAAATAAGTTGCCCCACAAGCTGCAAAAGCCTGGCTACAGGCCTGAGGCAATGGCAAACAACTCTTTTGCCTTGGAAACCCATAAGTCATCAGATAGATAGATAAACCAGCCGTGTTGTGGCTGCCACTCTAGCCTCAGTCTCCTCCTGCAATGTTTTGTGGGTAGAAATCCCAGGGCACCTTGCTCCTAGCATAGATCTTAGCAGCTAACCATTCCTGGTGGGCTTTGACATGGAAGAAGAAGAAGAGGAGATTGGATTTATACCCTGCCCTTCACTACCCTAAAGTGTCTCAGAGCGGCTCACAAACTCCTCTCCCTTCCTCTCCCCACAACAGACACCCTGTGAGCAGTGTTCCCTCTAAGCTGAGTTAGTGTGAGCTAGCTCACAGTTTTTTAGCCTCCGGCTCACACATTTTTGTCCTAGCTCAGGAAGGATGGCTCCAGGGCAAACTAACTTAGGTAGTAGCCAAAGTGCTCACTCACAACTTTAATGCCAGTCGCTCACAGAGTAGAATTTTTGCTCACGAGACTCCACAGCTTAGAGGGAACAGTGCCTGTAAGTAGGTGGGGCTGAGAGAGCTCTGACAGAAACTGCTCTTTTTTCAAGGACAGCTCTTATCTTCTTGAGAGCCAGTTTGGTGTAGTGGTTAAGTGTGCGGACTCTAATCTGGGAGAACCGGGTTTGATTCCCCACTCCTCCACTTGCACCTGCTGATGTGACCTTTGGTCAGTCACAAGCTCTGGCACAGCTGTCCTTGAAAAAGAGCAGTTTGTGTCAGAGCTCTCTCAGCCCCACCCACCTCACAGGGTGTCTGTTGTGGGGAGGGGAAGGGAAAGGAGTTTGTAAACCGCTCTGAGACTCCAAGTGAAGGGCGGGGTATAAATCCAATCTCCTCCTCCTCCTGGTCATCCAGCAGGTGCAAGTGGAGGAGTGGGGGATCAAACCCGGTTCTCCCAGATTAGAGTCCGCACACTTAACCACCACACCAAATTGGCTCTTGAGCCACACTTCTTCTCTCGGTGTAGCTCCGCTTGGCCAGTGCCCAGAAAGTCGGCGATGGAGAATGTGGACAAGGCTGCATGC